TGTGTATCTGGCTGTGTGAATTTGTGAGTGTATCTGGCATTGTCTACCTGTGTATGTGAAAAGAAAAGAATAAAAAAGTTGCGCCAAATAAAACTAATAAAAGAGAAACCACAAATAAAAATAGTCCAATATAAAAGAGGAAATCCAATAAGTATAAAATAAGTCTTAGCTGAGTAGATCTTCCTTAAGTGCGGTGATCTATACAATGATGAATCCGAGATAAAGTCCTTCAATATTCTTCCTCAGATGGATCCAATAATATGTAAAGATAAAACAGATGACCAAGATAGTGTAGTATGTCCACTAGGGTATGGCAGACAATATAAAAGAAATAATATAGCACTCACATTTGATGGAGCTATAGCTAGCTCTAGTGTGGAAAGCGTACAGCGGTTTAGATCCCCGCTTATAGGGTATGGTGCAGCTTTCTTTTTCTTCAGGAGTAGATGCCACTCAAATAGAATAGAAAGACACAACCAATAGTGCTCACTGTTGAAATAAAATAGAGATAAAAAGTAATAAAAATGGTACTCACAAGAACGGAGCAGGCTATCTGCTCCTTTGTCTTGGCGTAGGTGGAATAATCCCCACCAAGGATTGCTTGGAGTCCAGAAGTCGAAAATGCCAGGTGAAAGTAGAAAATATAAAAAATCTAAAGATGATTGGTACAACCAAAAGAGTGACCAAAAAATCTTTAATAATTAAAATATACAATATAAATATCCAAAAACGCATTTTGCTAATAAGTACCATTTTTATTACTTTTTATCTCTATTTTATTTCAACAGTAAGCACTAATGGTTGTGTCTTTCTATGAAAATGGGGCATACCACCAGTAACTTGATAACGGTAACATATTCAGGTAAACTTTTCACTTAACTTCAACTTTTACTTTCACCATCACTTAATACCAGTCTGTAACGGACCGTTTTGCACAAAAGGGGTAAAAACCGTTTAGGCGATCGGCCCCCTTTCCAGAGATACAGGCACAGCTACTGCAGAACACCAAACTCCCGAACTGGATACAAAATAGCACTCCAACTCCCGAACTGGAACCTCCCAAATAGCTGCTAGCAGACTAACAGGAAAAGCAGACAATCAGCTTACACTCCTGGCAATCAGTCTCTAACAGCATACAGTGAATCCCCCCCAAGAACGAGACAAGGCTCTGTGTTGAGGGTCAAGCAGTGGTCTGTTTAATGAGGGCTACCTGCCCGGCTTTTATGCAGATCTCCCACCTGGTGGACACTCCCCTAGGGGACCAAATGGGAGACTGTGACAAGGGACAGTCACAGTATATTCCCACAATGCATCCTGGCTTCCTCCCCTCTGCCCTGAGAGATAATTGAGAAGTAACTCAATTATCTCCCAAGACAAAGGCAAAACTCCATTACACATGTGGGGACACAAAACCAGTATTATACTTTAAAATACATAAAGTAACATTTATTACATAAAACACAGACATGTAACATATCCCCAGATAGCTCAGGTCTGAGCGCACATTATTAAGCGAATGGCGCTCAGACCACACGAATACAGTTTAATCGCCATGGAGCCAAAGTCTTTACAGTCAGTTTCATACGAATGGGCTCCATGGGATTCCTATCTGGGGTATAACACATTCAACAAAACTACCGAACACCGGGCCGTTCGTGCACTTCCACCGAACAAGAAGGGAGGTCGGCGGCTTCAGCGGTGTTCGTGCAAAACTGTGTCCGATTTTAGTTCCATGAAAATAGGGGCGAACACCGCTGTGCATTCGTATGTTTAAAATGGCCGCGACCTCGTGTTCGGGATACGAATGGCGGCCACCCAGCATTCGTCAATTAAGCTGCGGTTAACCGCAGCTTCAGGGAGGTTAATTGCCGGCACACTCCAGCTCCCAGGTGGTCTATTCATTCGTGCAGTTGTTCGGTAGATTGAATCTACCGAACAACTGGCAGAAAAGCACGAATACAGCTTTTCTCCAGGCGAAATAAAGTCTTTTAAAAGGGGGCCATAGTCCAGAGGCAGCAGGCGAGCAACCAGGCTTCTCCAATGCAATGTGGTGAGATTGGTCTCGTCACATCTCTCCCCTTTTCCAAACAGACTAACAGGGTATCTGACCTCCTGCCGGTCAGTGCCCTTGTTAGTCCAGCAGCCCACCCACAAAACATAATCAACAGCACAGCCCACCCACAATAAATGGTTACTACACCTGGGTAAAGGAGAAGCTTGTCCATGTTCAGGTGCCTCACCACGGCTGTGCTGGGTACGGGTACGCTGACTTGGTGGGGTGCTGCGTGGGCAGAGACCAGCGGCACTCTGCCCTGTTGCCAGCGCTACTGGGAGGGTAGCCTGGTTGAAGCCTGGTTGTTGGAGGGGGAGACCGACTGTCTCCCCTTTAGATACACAGTCCTGCTGCTGGAGACCGACTGTCTCCCCTTTGGTTACACAGCTCTGCTGCTGGAGACCGACTGTCTCCCCTTTGGTTACACAGCTCTGCTGCTGGAGACCGACTGTCTCCAGCACAGCTCTGCTGCCGGAGGGGGAGACCGACTGTCTCCCCTTTGGATACTCTAAGCTGTCGCTGGGGAGAGGGGGTAACAGGCTCCTCTCCTGATAGAACACTCTGCCGCTGGGGAAAGGAGACTGAGCTCTCTATTCCCTGCCCATTAATGATCCGCCGCTGGGGAGAGGTGGTAGCAAGCTCCTCTTCCTTACATACTTTCATCCTCTGTGGAGGGAGACCGACTGTCTCCGCTCCCAATGCAGAGTCCTGCTGCTGGGGAAAGGAGACTGGGCTCTCTATTCCCTGCTGGATACTCTGTCGCTGGGGACTGGAGACTGGGCTCCCAATTCCCAACAAATAACACTGCCGCTGGGGAATGGAGACTGGGCTCCCAATTCCCAGAAAATCACGCTGCCGCTGGGGAGGGAGGACACTGCTCTCCTCTCCCTGGACTTCACACTGCCTTCCCGGCATATCATTCTGCTGCTGGGGGGCAGGAACAACTACCTCTGCCCCCTGTAACTCAGCCTGCCGCTGGGGAGGGAGGACGCTGCTCTCCTCTCCCTGCATTTTACACTGCCTTCCTGGTATATCACTCTGCTGCTGGAGGGCAGGAACAACTACCTCTGCCCCCTGTAACTCAGCCTGCCGCTGGGGAGGGAGGACGGTGCTCTCCTCTCCCTGCACTTTACACTGCCGCTGGGGAATGGAGAATGGGCTCCCAATTCCCGGCATATCACACTGCCGCTGGGGAATGGAGACTGGGCTCCCAATTCCCAATAAATCACACGGCCGCTGGGGAATGGAGACTGGGCTCCCAATTCCCTGCAGGACCGGTTGAGAGACCTCGGTCCCATCTCTACCAGCCACCTGGGGTTCTTCCCAGAAAATATCAACAATGTCTTCCCAGCTGAATGGGTCTGGAACTGGATCTGTCACCTTGCTGTCCTGCTGAATCTTCTCAATGGAGTGGAAGAGATCTCGGTAGTCCTGCTCCAGTTCCCACTCCAGTGTTTGCTAGGTGAGCCAGGTCTTGCTCAATGTCGTGAGTGTCGTCCCAGTCATACCTGCTCTCCCTCCACTCCAAGAGATCACTGAACCGGGCTTGTATAGGGCTCCCAAATTCAGGCTCTGAAAAAGCCTCCCATAACAAGCCAGGACCATCAAACTCCTCTCCCTCTGGCTTGTCATGCTCGGCTGTCCAGGGAAGGTACTGTGCCCCATACCACCAGAGCACCTGGTAGGCATCTTCCAGCCAAATCTCCTGCCATACCCGGTGCTCCAATTCCTTCACCCATTCATCCAGGGGCTGCTCTCCCAGGAAGGGCATCCGCAGGGCCACTTGCTTCTGCAACCGCTGCTCTTCACTGGGGAGACTCTCGCCCCGCTGGTATTGTACATTATCCAGGGCCTGGTACCAGATGCCTTTCCTTAATGCATCCCGGCCATCCAGGTCCTCCTCCTCGTATGACACTGCTGGTTCCATTCTGTTGCTGTCAGGGTCGCTGTACTCAGACATGCGTTGCCCTCAAATTGTAAATCCACGGAATGGTGTTGCCTGTAGCTGTCCTGTAGTCTGTGGGAACGATCCCACCGCTGCCACCAATTGTAACGGACCGTTTTGCACACAAGGGGTAAAAACCGTTTAGGCGATCGGCCCCCTTTCCAGAGATACAGGCACAGCTACTGCAGAACACCAAACTCCGAACTGGATACAAAATAGCACTCCAACTCCCGAACTGGAACCTCCCAAATAGCTGCTAGCAGACGAACAGGAAAAGCAGACAATCAGCTTACACTCCTGGCAATCAGTCTCTAACAGCATACAGTGAATCCCCCCAAGAACGAGACAAGGCTCTGTGTTGAGGGTCAAGCAGTGGTCTGTTTAATGAAGGCTACCTGCCCGGCTTTTATGCAGGTCTCCCACCTGGTGGACACTCCCCTAGGGGACCAAATGGGAGACTGTGACAAGGGACAGACAAGTAGACAAATAGGACACACAGTCACAGTATATTCCCACAATGCATCCTGGCTTCCTCCCCTCTGCCCTGGGAGATAATTGAGAAGTAACTCCCAAGACAAAGGCAAAACTCCATTACACATGTGGGACACAAAACCAGTATTATACTTTAAAATACATAAAGTAACATTTATTACATAAAACACAGACATGTAACATATCCCCAGATAGCTCAGGTCTGAGCGCACATTATTAAGCGAATGGCGCTCAGACCACACGAATACAGTTTAATCGCCATGGAGCCAAAGTCTTTACAGTCAGTTTCATACGAATGGGCTCCATGGGATTCCTATCTGGGGTATAACACATTCAACCAAAACTACCGAACACCGGGCCGTTCGTGCACTTCCACCGAACAAGAAGGGAGGTCGGCGGCTTCAGCGGTGTTCGCGCAAAACTGTGTCCGATTTTAGTTCCATGATACTAATGGCGGGATACGAATGGCGGCCACCCAGCATTCGTCAAGCTGCGGTTAACCGCAGCTTCAGGGAGGTTAATTGCCGGCACACTCCAGCTCCCAGGTGGTCTATTCATTCGTGCGGTTGTTCGGTAGATTGAATCTACCGAACAACTGGCAGAAAAGCACGAATACAGCTTTTCTCCAGGCGAAATAAAGTCTTTTAAAAGGGGGCCATAGTCCAGAGGCAGCAGGCGAGCAACCAGGCTTCTCCAATGCAATGTGGCGAGATTGGTCTCGTCACACAGTCATTCATAGCTAACCTGACCGCCTTATAAATACAACCATTTATCACCATCACTTAGTGCCAGTCAGTCATAACTAACCTGACCGCCTTATAAATACAACCATTTATCACCATCACTTAGTGCCAGTCAGTCATAACTAACCTGACCGCCTTATAAATACAACCATTTAACACATATCCTTCCTCAGAACTTGAACCTGAGGATGACTTTTGCCCCACCGCCTCAGCTGGGGTAGGACTATCCCAGCTGAGGCCCACCACAGCCAAGGCCCTTTTTTCATCATGTTTTAGATCCAGATTAAAATATCCGGACCGATATAGCACAAATTAAAAAGGCCCTGTTCATTCTGATCTCATTTGCAGTGTCTGTGTGAAAAAACCCTCCCAATCGTGGCAAATCTTGACCTTGCCAAATTCAACTTACCACTCACTCTTCTCAGCGCTTTTAACTCTTGGTTCACTTAACCATCACCAGCACTGGAACACCTCTGACCAAACTAGAATGGTGTAAGGAAATTATTTTTTCAATACCAAACAAACATTTTTCTTTACCTTATGTGATAACTGCACGGGTTTAACCACACCTATATCATTACCACCATATGAAATGTTAAAACAGCTGGAGCAGGCCAAGACCAACACTTTAATATGAGTTCCATTAACTGGTGAAATTGTAGACCACCTACACCTTTCCTATATATTGTGACGCAATCTCGATTAAAGTCCAAATTCGGTCCATAAATTCCTGCTCCTGCCCTTACCTGGCCTGCTTTACAAAAGAATGACCCATAACCCAAACATTTGTTATGGTACCTGAGGAAATAATAATAATAACAGAGTGAAAGGATGAAAGCAAACATTACATCACGTCATTCTGCACATATAACTTAAAACAATTTGAATCCTGTCCCCAATTCCTTTTATAGCGTCTGCTCCAAAACCTAAGTTTGTTGCTTCAGATGCTACCCCAATTCTGAAGGAATGAGTAGTAAATTTGCCTTTGTAACCCAGTCTTTCAAAACATCACTGCAAAATCTTCTGAAGATTGAGAACATGTAGAGCCTGAGATATGCCACTAGCAGCACGCCCTGTTCCACAGGGCGGACAGCTTAAATATGCACGCAGTGTCTCCACTGGGCAAACTCTGCTTTTTTCGATACCTGACAAATGTAACCATCTGCCTTTTCAAATTGATCGGTTTTAAGATTGCAACCAACATCTACTTTTGCGTCCGTGCTCAACACATTCTTAAACCGAAACCTGATAGTCCAAATCTACTGCAAGAAACCAACTCACTGATCCTAAGTGCTGCAAAAGGCTAAATAAAGTGCTGCTGAAAACAAATTTACTTTGAATTGCGAATGGCAAACAGTGTTTCAAAACTTCAAGCAGCTCTCCCAAGACTGAATATATTATGGGCCGAATATATTATGGGCCGACTATCGTCAGCAATACAAAGCATTTTAAAATAACCTTTTAACAACTGTTTACTTACAAATGCACCACTACTGGTCCACCCAAAACCTCAAATTTGTTACCAGCTAAACACCTAGAAGATATTTTTTATTTTTTATTTTTTTGCTATACCACTGCTAATACACTGACTCACAAAAGAGAATGCAGCTTCTATATTTCAACCTACTGGGTCAATTTGTATGTAATTTATACCCTTCATTCCATGCTGACACATAAGCACTCCACTTCCCCTGTGCAAGTGCTTTCATGTGAAATTGCCCGGCTCTTCCCATATGATTTGCCAAGAGCCTTTCGGCAATTCCACACTCTTTTTTTTCTGCATCCGGCACTAAGCTCCTGAAAGTGTGGAGCTGGCAACGTAGATAGCATCAGCTATCTTATTCTCAATACCCGGAATATGCACAGCCTTCCACCAAATATTATGTTTCAAAAATAACAACACTAGATTTCGCAACAAATTAATAACAAAGCAACTTTTAGAATGCATAGAATTAAAGACCTGTACAACTGCCTTATTGTCACAGTGGAACAATATTCGTTTATTCTGCAGTTCTTTTTCTCATACCAAGCTTGCTGCTATAATTGGTAACAATTCCAAAAGGGGGTTACATTCCTGGTCAACCCTTGCTCTACCCATTTATCTGACCCTGAGCAAAGGCCCATTTCTAGTTCTTAATATGCCAAAACCAACTGACCCCGCAGCATCCACAAATAATTCTAAATCTTCCTTATCCTGAAAAATTCAGTTTGCAATAATAAACAACCATTGCACTGCTGCAGAAAATGCCCCCACACTTTCGAGTCTTTCTTAATTTCTGCAGAAATCCTTACACAACAGTGAACAGATTTTCTTTTAACACAAGCCAGCGCCATTCGCCTACAAAATTTTCTATAGGCATAATACAACTTGCAAATGCTAATAGGCCTAATCATTGACTGAACTGCTTCACTGTTGCTTCCGTCATCCGTTTACCTATAAAAGCACTGAAACAATTGTTATCCCTAAAATTGAAGACTTGTCACTGGCCGCAATGTCTTTTTTGTCTAAACTACAGAAAAACTCTAACAACCTAACATATTCAGAAACAGAACTAGGACCCATAAACAAAGTTATCCCGATATTGTACAATAGAATATAAACCGGTCTCCACATTAACAACTTATTCTAAGAATGCAGAACAGCTTCAAAGTAAAAACAGGAAATGGAACGACCCGTTGGCAAACTTTCATTGAAATAAAACTTGCCAAGGAATGAAAATCCCAACGAATTGAAACCCTCTGGATGCACCGTTAATAGCCCATAGGCTGACTCCATGTCCACCTTCAGCCAACAGTGCGCCCGGTCCAAATTCTCTTCTCTATCTGAGTGCATCATCACATTATGTGTAGGACACTGAGCATGTATCCTTGTCAAATTCGTCATTTAATCATGCACCAGAGGGGCAATAAATGGAGAATTAGCTGGAATGACCCTGTCTCTCCTTTTTTTTTGGAATTAAACCTAAAGTAGAAAGGCGAAATTAGCGCAAGGAGGACTGTAAATTTGCTAACAGATTCAACATCCTGCAAAACTGATTTTAAATTATTAACAACTGAACAACCTGGACCATAAAACCTTGGAATCTTAAAACCTTCCGTAAAACCTTGATCCAATAACTTAGCTCTCTCCTTGTTTGGGTACACCTACCGATAAGGACGCAGCCTTTCAGCTGCCTGGAGTCCTAAATAACAATATGAGTACTTTCAGTAGAAAGTACCAATGCAATTATATATATATATATATATATATATGTATTAAGGCAGTTTTGCCTGTATTTGTGGGAGGGGCTTAAATTAATTCACTCCCCTATATAAGGGACACCCCTTACCTGACTCATATCGCTTGAGGTCAGCATCAGAAAGATTTCCACTTCCGGGTCATCCAGACGCCATTTTACCTGATTACTCCATGAGGTTTTCTAAGCTGAGCTGTGTCAGGAATCCAGCCACAGGCTTTTCCGGCCTACCACCTTCTTTCTTCAATCTATCGCTGTGGATGGTGTCCAAGTGACTCACAAACCGTAAGTTGACCTACCCATTACGCCAGGCATCAGTCCCATGGCACCATGCAAGGGTCAGGTCCTCACTTTACTGCTGCATTTTGTCTAAGTCTGTTCTAAAACCATTGCATGTTCATGCATATCATTCGTTTAAACCCCCTACTGGTCTTTGGGTGTACTACAGACTTCTTAGACATTATCGCATTTCATGTACAAACCAACGAACCACTGCATCTTTGCCTACACACTGACCCCTACCGGTCATTCGGTGTACTACAGGCTTCTCAGACATTATTGCATTTCATGTACAAACCAACGAACCACCGCATTTTTCACCTACACACTGACCCCTATTGGTCATTCGGTGTACTACAGGCTTCTTAGGCGTTGTTTGCATTTTCATGTACAAACCAATAAACCACTGCATTTACACCTACACACTGACCCCTACTGGTCTTTCGGTGGACTACAGGCTTCTTAGACATTATCGCATTTCATGTACAAATCAACGAACCACTGCATTTGCGCCTACACACTGACCCCTACCGGTCATTCTGTGTACTACAGGCTTCTCCGACATTATTGCATTTCAGGTACAAACCAACAAACCACTTAATTTTTCACCTACACACTGACCCCTATCAGTCATTCGGTGTACTACAGGCTTCTTAGACATTATTGCTTTTCATGTACAAAACAATAAACCACTGCATTTTCACCTACACACTGACACCTACCAGTCATTCTGTGTACTACAGGCTTCTCAGACATTATTGCATTTTATGTACAAACCAACAAACCACTGCATTTTTCACCTACATACTGACCCCTATCAGTCATTCGGTGTACTACAGGCTTCTTAGACATTATTGCTTTTCGTGTACAAAACAATAAACCACTGCATTTTTACCTACACACTTACACCTACCGGTCATTCAGTGTACTACAGGCTTCTCAGACATTATTGCATTTCATGTACAAACCAACGAACCACGGCATTTTCGCCTACATGCTGACTCCTACCGGTCAATCGGTATACTACAGTCTTCTCAGACTTTATTTCACTTCATAAGCAAACAAACTAACTACAGCATTTTCGCTTTTATACTGACTCCTATCTGTCAAACGGTAGGATTAACCCCTTAGGGACACATGACATGTGTGACATGTCATGATTCCCTTTTATTCCAGAAGTTTGGTCCTTAAGGGGTTAAAGGGTATTTTTACCATACAATCAGCATTTATGACCCCTACTGGTCAACAGCAAAACTGTCTTCACATGTCATATACAATTTACCAGCCAATATAAATTACACATAAGATTGTTTTAACCCCTTAAGGACACAAGACATGTGTGACGTGTCATGATTCCCTTTTATTCCAGAAGTTTGGTCCTTACGGGGTTAAACATAACCATAAACCATAAATGAAACTCCAGCACGGGCTCAAATTCAGGTTTAATTCACAATAATTTACATTTCAC